AGCGCACACGTGACGGGCGTTTCACTTTTCTGCCTCTTGCGTTTGGCAGCCCATATGAGCTGCTCGCATTGGATCTCAGGAACTCAAATCAGGCCTGAATAGAGCTCCAACAACTCTTCAGCGCCGAGGCCTGCCCCGCTTTCTAAGATCTTTGCAGGCAGAAGCGACGAAAGCAATTGCAATGTACGCCCGGTGCTTTTTAAATCACCGAACTAACTTTGTGATCAGGTAATCCACGAAAGAAAAGAATTCGGGGCACTTAAAATGCTCTTCCGTGCTCTCAGCGGGAATGTTAAAGGGGTGACGTTGCCGACTTGTTCATCCACCTAAATTTCAACTTCCGCTGTTTCGGCCATTTTAATGGCGGCTTGAAATATTGCGAAGTGCTTGTGCATAAACGCTTGCTATAAATGTTTTAATGTTTTTTTGTGTTGCTCTTTAATTCTTTATGAGAGTATAGTTATTCTTTTGTTTTGTCTGGCCGGCACGGGTTTGTAATGCAGTGGTACCTCAAACAGCGGAGGGAGTTGTGTGCTGTGAGGAAGCTTCTGAAGTTGGTGGGCCGCAATTACGACGACAGTAGGACAGTGAGCCACCACGTCCGTATTCCTGTAGCTGAAGCCTGTTCAGTTTTGAAAATAGCAATGCAACTTTACCCGCTTTATCTTAACAGCGCCTCCCTAATTATTGCGTGAGCGTCTGTACTACCTAGCTCACCCTGCTTCGTTATTGGGGGGGAGGGGCGGTAATAATGCAGGTAAACCCCCCCCCCCCCCCCTTCCGACATAAACTTCTGGCTACGCCACTGGTCGAGCGACTTGAATGCATGGCTTTCTTAGCGCATTAAGCCGCTTACATGACCGGATTGAATGGTAGAAGTGTATTCCATGCGACTAAGTCGCATTCATGTAAACGCGGCTTGTGTCGGCACCAGAAAATAAAAGGATACGAGCTATAAATACACGCAGTTGAAGTTGTGAGACATTTTGGGAGAAGTTTGTTTATTTTCGACCTTTGTTTTACCTCGTTATGAGCGCAGTGTCGCGATGAAAATGGGTTGTCCGCTGATGACGATTCTAATATTAGCAAACAACTGTTTATTTAGGAAATATAGACAGGTTACTCTTATGCAGGGATGGGCAAAATACATGGAAATGTGTATTGAAATACAAATACAAAATACTTCGCCAAAAATGTATTTAATTGCAAATCTAATTACATTTCCAAAAAAGTATGTAACTAGAAGATAAAAATACAACCAAATGTATTTGGTCTCCTCCAAATACTTTTCCAAATACATTCCTCAAAATTTTGCGTCAGCGACTTCAGGGCACCTGCAACGGGTTTCTGGGTATCTCATTTTAATTTTGCATCGCACACTCAGGAGTTAGTGTGCGAGGCTCTAGTAGCGTAATAGAAATATAATCACAAAAATATGTAATCAACTTGGACGTAATAGGTGAAAAAAGTACAGAGCTTCAAGCACTTTTTTTTTGTCGATTACATTTTGGTATAGACCAACAAAGAACCGAGACGACCAAGACGCGCAGCACTAGCTAGAGAATTTTGAATTGTTGCAACTCGCACCAGTTACAAAAATCTGGACGACCCGCGCATTTAGAATGTTCCAGACAAAATTATGGATGGAAATCAGGCTGGAAAGAATAATAAGTTGTCACAGGCACTTATTTAGCCAGTCTGCCTGTGAACGTCGATTTCGTCACTATTCTTGCCCTGGACTAGCACCGTAATCGCAAAGTCACTGAACGCTTGTGCTTGATTGAGAGACACTACATTCGGTGCACAACGTAGTTTTCTTCCTGCTCTGGACAGTGACAATACATTTGAGGGATGTATTTTCGCCCACAAAATTGTATCTAATTACAATTCTATTTGAAATACCCACGTTTTAGTGTTTAAATACACACGTAAAATATATTACCCAGTTTGTAATTAAATACAAAAGCAAAATACACAAAGTATTTGAAATACGTATTTCAAATACTTGTATTTGAAATACTGCCTATCCCTGCTCTTATGCAATAGATATGAACAACTTCTCAATAAACGTTGGGGGAGAAATACTCCTATCTTCGGCGACTTCCCCTGCCGTCCTCCTCGACCACAGCTTCAGCGGTGCCCCGACCACAGCTGAACTCGACAAACGAAGATCCACAGAAAGGCGGGCGAGCCGAGCTCCTCCACAGCCGTAAGAGGTCCCAAGTTCGCGAGCTTTCGGGCTCCACAGCCCGAACACTCCACAACCGAAGGGGGGCGGTCGTGGAGGTTGGCCTCCAGAGGGAACGTGGTGTTCACGGCATGATATCCGAAAGCCAAGACCTCTGCCCATTGACAGCTGCTTATATTGGGTTGAGCAGCATTCTGGAGCCATCCAGACAACCAATCACAGAGGGTTTTCTTAGCACCAATCAAAAGGCTGGGAACCCAAAGCGAACATGAGCATGACAGAAACAAGCGCACACACAGGACAACACACATTTCGAACGAAGTTCACAAGATCAGTTAAAACAAGACAAAGCACGTACGAAGACATGATCACAAGGCCAGTCGCGCAAACGAGAAGTCAGTAACAAAGAGGAAGTACGTGAGTGCATAAAGAACAAAAAGGCATATCTATATGGCACCCAAAGCAAACCCCACTCAACACGTGGAAACCATTCCCGAATTCCCCGAACCTGGCTCTTTTCGGTTAACTGCTGCCGACGACCAGAGCTCCAGGCAGAACGGTCCGTGGACCAGGGGGCCGTAAACATCTCAAAGAAAGACGCGGACCGTGTCACTTGACACCCGGAGCGCGGGTCTTCGTGAACCACTTGGAGGGGGAGACTTCATCCTTGTCGCGGCGGCGACCAGCGGCCGAATACACTGGGGGACCGCGGAGAGGCCCCTAAAGAATGCAGAACGAAAACAAAGCCACGAAAGCATAACTCGACTATAATGGAGGTTTATGGTCCATGCTAAGGTGAGAACGGCGGGGAGGAGCTTGAGTTCCGGCAGATCGCGCTTCCTACGGCGGAAGACGTCGAGTGCGTGTTGGAGGCCGTTCGTGCGAAAGGCACGTCCTGCCCTTCTCATTCTGTCAATAAATAGAAAAATTAAGTACTCTTCTCGTTGAGTCGGCAAACCTCAGACTTGAGACATTGTGACATCCTGTTCGTTATGTTGCGCATCCGTCTCTTGAGGTTACGATGTTCTCAGACCAGCTGACTTGCAGACTTCCGCTCCTTGTCCATCTTAATCCGGGGTCGCACTGCTCATACATCATACAAAAGACAGTCTGCCAACGCGAGTCACCGCAATCTCCGGGGTTCGAATCCCGCGTGCGAAGTTTTGTCCTTGAACTCGCTGCTATACGGCATTCGAAGCACGGATCTCGCGGTGCCTCGCGTTCAAATCTGTATGGAGACTCTTTTGTGTGATGTATACAAGCAGTATGACCCCGGCTTCAGTGGATACCTGCTGCCGGTTCCCGTGTTGAGTACCAGAAGCAAAAAAGCGCCGAAAAAATACAGGGACACAGACGAAGGGAAACAGGACAAGGCGCACTCTCAACTGATGTTTATTGAAAAATTCACACGTTATATAGCCACACACACACACACACACACGCCAGATCAATTCACCACAGCCATCTTCAGATCCCTGCACTACCAAACATCGAAATAAGTACGTTGAATGTGCCACTGGCGTCGTCTATGAAATCCCCATGACGTGTGGGATGACATACGTGGGCCAGACGGGCAGGTGCGTTAATGATCGCACCCGAGAGCACGCTGCCTCTACAAGAACGACGCCTTCGGGGCACCTTGCAATTCATTGCAATAGATGCTCTTGCACCCCGGCCTTCAATGACACCAAGATTTTGGCTAGATACAAAGATAAAGTGTCGCGGGAATTACACGAGGCGTATGCAATTAGGACCAGAGACAAGAATTGCATAAGTGACACGTCGGTATCCTTATCTACAAATGAGTTTGAATTTTTGAAACGCGGGCTGAGTAGATAGAAAAGATTTTTTTTTTTTTTTTTGTGTGTGTGTGTGTGTGTGTGTGGCTATATAACGTGTGAATTTTTCAATAAACATCAGTTGAGAGTGCGCCTTGTCCTGTTTCCCTTCGTCTGTGTCCCTGTATTTTTTCGGCGCTTTTTTGCTTGCAATGAACCAACTGGCCCAAATCTCCACTTTACTGAGTACCAGAAGTTTGTAGGATTTTCCTCCTTACTGCTCGCTTCGGAGTATGACACAACGCACTCGTTCAAAAACACGTGGTCATTTATTGACTTCACGTCGCGCGCTTCGACCCAAAAGCCTCACTTCTGTGCCGGCCCTTCATCAGCGGCGGACCGCCACTCTCGTGGCCGATTGCGCTTCGCCACTTCGCGGTAGAAATCGCGAGAGACGATTTATCGTCCAATCAACCTGGTCGAACACAGTAGATTGTCATGTTGTCCACAAATCTGAATCGTTTTTTTTAGTAGGTAGTGTTTTTAGCATTTTTTGGGAGCGATACGATCGTTCACTTTCCCCGATCCAGGTGCCTAGAGTCACATCTGTTGGAACAAGGAACACAGATCACCGTCTTTCGCCTGAAATAGCACACCTGCATCAAAGAAGTTGTTATCCACTCGAGGATCGTAAAAACTTCCTTTTTTTTTCCACTCGTGGCCAACACATCGAGTCAATCTTACTGAGAGTGTGACAAAAAAAGAAAATAAAGCAAATATTTCCCGGTTTCTAAAAATGGTTGGTCGGGGGAGTGGGGGAAGTCGTCGGTTCTGAGGGTTGTCTGCGTCGCTCTGTGCCTCGGGTCGAGTCCATACCAGGAACGGACGCTCGTTCAAAGTCCCTCGCACAGGCGGCAGCAGAGAAACAGGCGCGCTCCAGGCAAAGGGAACGCCGCGTCGACGGTAACTCAACACGCCCGCCATACAGGCGCTCGGCCGGTCTACTTTTCGTCGAGTTGCACATTTTGTTTTCTCTCGCTTTTGTAGTTTGGGCGCCGAGAGGAGGCGTGAAATCGATCCGTCAGTGCGGTCCGAAGGCAGCCGGCCTTCCGTTCCGAACCACCGCTGGGAAAAAGAAAAGCGTCAAATTCGTGCGCGACCGGAACCGCGAAACACCAAAACACGGTTCGAAAACACGCACCGCACGAGCTTCGGTGCAGACGAGAGTTCCGGTGGCGGGGACCAATGGCGGTGTCGGCGTCTCCGCGGTTGCCAGGGGCGACGACCAATGGGAAACCGGTTTTTCGGCTCGGCCTGCGAGCGTCTCGGCCGCTCGGCGGGAGCAGCGCACTCTCGCCATTCCGTTCTGTGCCCCGTGACGCTTCGGATGTTGGCGCGGTCTCTCGCTCTGAAAGCCGGCCGCTTCGGATGCCAGTCGGATTAGACAGAGGGACTTGGATGAGCCGCAACGCCGCCTTGTGCCGCCGCGTCGGAGTGAACAGACGCTCGAGGAGTCCCAGCCCCAAGTGAAGGGCCTTCGCTTAAAGCATCTGCTCTTTTTTTCTTTTTGTTCGCGAAGGGATCGCCGCTTTTCCAATGGATACGAGCCGGTGGTCCACGCTCCTGCTTCTAGGTAAGTGAACGCTGTGACTCGTACTTCGTCTAATTGGGGTTGTTGACAACCGAAGAGACGCCGTCAATTCCTTTCGAGACGGACGCAGTTTCTGACAGGTTCCTCCTTCGCAGCCGTCGGCTGTAAATTATGACGGTTTAGTCGTGCGGGTGGGACGGCTCCTCATTACGAGCATATTCGGATATTATTCCGTATCGTAAATCCCCACTGACCACCGCGGCTGCGGCACAAATGTTGTTGCAATGATGCCACGGTTAAAAGTTTCTAAACGCAATCACTCGCTCCCGCATCACAGATACCGGCGGTATGGCTAACAAAATGTAGGGATATTTTGTTAGCCATACCGCCAATATCTGTGAACTGGCGGTATGGCGAAGAACAAACTACGAAGGGATGATTGTAAAACATATTATATATATTGTATGTATATAATATTTTTTTTTAATATTTCCGTTCGTAGTTTCTGATACTTTTGACATTTATCTCATCTGCGCATTTCTAGACGCAGCTAACTTTCCTTTTATATTTCTTCTCTCTTACTTGACTGCCGAACTTGGATCGCTGTTTTATTTGCGAATTTGTTTCCTTGGTTTTCAAAGTCTTCACGCGATTCGAGAAGTACCAGGGTCTCTGAAACGCTTCTGCGGCTGTTTCCCGCGCTAAGTCAAAAGTGGTCCCAATGTCCCGTGACGTCGGAAGAAACGGCGTGTCACCTTGTCGGCTGTCTCCGCGATTGATGGTAGAAGTCCCGTTAAAAAGTAGGAGCGAACGGGAGCGTTGCTGTCGTCGCAGCTCCTGACTGCTAAAGCATTCGTGCACTGTGAAGCCGGAGGGCAGCAGACCAGGCGTCTACCTCATCCAGCACCGCTGCTCAGCCGGAATCGGGGGTTGGCAGGAACATGGCGCCTCTGACTTCATGGGGCGGACGGACCAATGGGAGACGCGTTCCCGGCACCGTACTGGTACCGTAGGACAAGAAAGCCGATTCCTCGTACACTATATTACCCAAGCACCAAGAAGAATGCTGGAAACCTAAGTCCGTGCACTGCTCGCTCGCCTCATCTGTAGAAAAAGTATGAACTAAAAGACCAAAACAAACCGTTCACCAACGCACGGGCAACTTACCTTTCGTTTTCCATTTTTCCTTTGCAACGATTACTGCTGATGACGCCTGCACGTGCAGCCACCGGCGTCTCAGGGGAGAGGGGGGGGGGGGGGGGGGGGGGTTGGTATGTCCCGGCGAGCTACCGCCCCAGGTGCCGCTGACCCTAGTGACGCCACTGCATGCATGAAAATTTGTAACTAGAGCCGCAAAATGAACTTTGGTGCTTCGGTAAAATAGAGGGAGCTGGCTCGAATCCCACAATATATCACCGCAATAAATATCCTTCCGCGAGCGGAAGGATATTTATTGCGCCGTCGGCGGCTCTTTTCAGTGGCTCGCGTAAAGATGCCTGCCCGACGCTCGCGGGCTTCCCGGACCGGCGGACCGGTGCGGCGCATTCGCTCGAGCGCAAGTGTAGAAGAAGGATGCTCCAGAAGAACTCCTCCGAAGTGACTTCAAGGTCCCGTTCTGTCGCCCCGCGCGGCCGTATGTGATCGGCGTATCGATCCGGAACATCCGCAAATAGAGCGTCTACCTGGACTCGATTGCGCACTCCAAGAGCCCCCCCGGGCTCGGAGTGTAGGTCTGCCTTTAAAGTGACTCTTTTATTCATTGCCCTCCTTTTTTGGCACTTGTTTCAAGAGGCAACTTTATTCCGCTTGACTTGTTTCGAAACTCGACCGCGTAGAGGTTTATCCCGTCCGCTATCCAGTTAGGCTCGATCGCAAGTTCGCCGTCTGCTCCTTGGCTGCCCACCACGGGAATGTCGAGCCGCCGGAGTTGGAAAAGTACGGTAAAATCGGGAACTTGCGGTGGCAGCCGCCGCAATTTTAAGTGCATATGGTTTTGGTTCGACAAGTACGACACGAGAATAACTTGAGAATTCCTATTACCTCAGCTAAGAAATGCTGTTGCGGTTAACAGCAAGTAGAGATCGCGCGCGCGTGGCTGTGGTCCCCGGCAAAGTGTGTGAACGCACGGGCACACCCAGCTTGCATTTCATTGCCACAAGAAGTTGAGCAGCATATGCGAGTTTTTTTTTTAGCCCGTAGACGGGGCTGATCAATGATCAATGTGACCATTTATCGAATCGTTCGGCGCCATCAATAGCGAGATATATAGCAGTTTTGTAGGGATTCAAATCTGATCATAGTTATAACTTTCATGCCGTATTTTACGAAATCGCCTGTTTTAGCTCGTGCGATTCGCTGCCCTCACGTTTATACTCAAATTTTCAAACTCATGCCGCTACGAACTGAAGCTGTCCTGCTTGGGCGGGAGGACCATGTTTTTATATTTGGGCTTTTTATTCTCCAGTGTACATGCACTCTATCCTACGGAGTCACCACTACACTATGAATTCACACCAGCCGTGCTTTAACTGAGATGAAGATGTGCATTTCAATCATTCTTGTTGTTCATTTTGTGCAGGCGAAGAAACCTGATTCCACTTACGATTAGCCCAATGGAATCTAACTCGATTTCTCGATGCTTTTAAAACTGTTTCAAAATGCTAGGAATGCCATCGCCGCCTTGCCAATCCAAGGTCTGAAATGCATGCCATCCATATTGCCATCAACTTGGTGCTTGCACAAAAATAATTAGACGCTGTTTTTTTACTTTTTTTGCTTGTAACATTGCAGTGATGTTATATTGCTCCGCCATCTGCGCTAAGCTGCGCAAAAGTGCTTACCCTGGCATATCCTGCTACATTTTACCAAAATGTGAGGAATTTGGGCCAACACTGTGGAAAAACTTAATTTCACTTTAAAAATACTGAACATATAATAGCTCAGACCCGGTGGACACCGTTGGGACATACTCAAGCTTTCAGAACTTTTGATTATCGCCTCAAATTACGTACTATTCGATTGCATTCCTTATGAAAGTCTGACCGTAATCGGAACCATCGCAATAATTATCATGCTCACTCGCTCTGGAGAAGAGTCACCTTCATTTATGGTCTAAAATCAACGGTTTAAAATAAATACAGATAAAACAGAGTGTGATCTCTTTAGAACACGAAATCGTCAAATCAAGTTGCTTTTGAATATCACGCTTGGATTGTCCTCATTGGAAACTGCAAAATATGTAAAAACCCTTTTTGTAATTTTTACTTATACACTTCCTTCGAATCTACATGTGGAACATATTTTCCAGAAAGTGTGCATAGCTATTGGAAATATATGCACATGTCGTTAAGGATTTCCAGTGCGAGTAAAATTGTTTTTATATTATTCTATGGTGTACACACACTGTGTATGGCCACCTGGCTTGGGGTCAAACAACAAAGCCAAATCTGACGCAGTTGTTTTTAACACAGAAGAAGGCACTTCATATTGCAGAAAACGTTCCATACTTGCAATCATCGGGATAATGTTTTGAACTGTATAAATTTATGTCACTCTTTCTCTTGCGCAAGTATCTCTTGATATGGGTATATGTAATGGCCACTATAAGGAAACAACCATGTCTTTCTTTCCTTCTGTATTGTGGGTTCGTGAGGACCAGCCCAGCATATGCAACTTGACACGGCAGGAATTGATGTGTTTGCACTCCTCGCACAAATTATGGTCCGGTACCTTCAATATATACTTTTCCATCCCTTCTAAATGAGCTTCAAAATAGAAATGTTGATGTTACTATATTGTATATGTTATGCAACGTAATGAGTAAAACGTATTTCGGAACGTAATTATTGCAACGTAGTGACGCTACACTATCTTGCTGTTGTGTTGAGTTGTCTTCTGATAATTTGTTTTTATTTGGTTTTCTGTCATATTCGGCCATTAGTCTAGCTGCTGGTATTGTCTTTTTAATAAGTACGCTCTATAAAAGTAAACTCATTTTTTTTGTGTTGTGAATATTTTTTGTTTGTGCGGTATTTCCGCTATTTTCTGCCATTGTTCGAGAGAGGTAGGACCTCGTCAAGGCGCAAATAAAGCAGCTTTTTGCCTTTTCTTCCTTCTTTTGTATGCTATACAAGAGGAAATAAAAACACAATTATTATTGCTATGTTTGTGGTCTGTTCTGGAGGGTTAGCTAGTTTCCTTGAGTGCGCTTCTCACCGCGCTATGGTGTATTGCAGAAAAGCGACAACTGCGGAGTAGGCATCGCTATTTTCCGTGCTTCGTCGCAGCGCAGCCGCGTGTTTGAGGGAAAGCACCTCTCCAGAGCGAGACCCGATACAGTTTATGGATACAACTTGGGCTCGCATGATAGACTGCGATATCCTTTAGGTACCGCTTTCCAGTTCGAAAATTAGCAAGGATACGTCGGCGTAGCAAGAATAATTATATACACTCTTTCGTAGATCTTTTTTATGCCAATTCCTTCGTTTAGTTGTCACTTTTATGTAGGTGTTATAAATTAAAGCTATTGATGCTTGGGAAGGACAATAACGAGTTCGGCGGGATTGTTTTTAAGAATATGTATGGAATGTTGACGTGTCCTTTTTCGACAATGTTTTGCATATAAAATGTAATTGAATTTAATGATCAAATAGCAAGTGCTTTGTTTTTAGTTGAATCGTAAATTGCTCTTTATTATAACCCCTAGAACTTGAAGGAAACATCAATTAAGGCACTCAACCTTGTTGTAAAATAACATTATTTTAGTTGAATTCAGCACCTAAAATAAGCAATCACGGCAGTTCGCGCTGTCCTTCATCAGTAATCCTGTTTCTACCTTGTCTGTAGCTTCTCCACGCAACTAAACACTGGCTCTGTGTTTGAGGGAATCGCTCCTTCCGGGCAATGGATGCTTATAAAGCGTCGCACCTAAGTGGGAACGCAAAGGAGACATTTCCTTTTGTTTGGCAGGCCGGCAGATTCATCTTGACATAATGGTTGTAGTGGTATGAATGAAAATAAAATGTGCGCTCATGTTCCAAATA